ATAGTATCTTTCATTCTGCGGAGAGACCATCCCAGCTCCATATTCAAACCACGTAGACTCTGGCCACAAGACTTCGACGCCTGAGATCGTAGGCGGAACACCTGTGATGGGCTGAAAGCGTCTACCCCCGCACGGTAGACCACAGTGGGTGCTGCATTTGTAACAGTGAGTCTCGACTTGTGGCTTTTGTGCGATAACTTCGTACTGGAAATATTGTTCCTTTTGGCTGCCATTTTCCGCCAGCTTTGTGCTCTGGTATTGTGCGCTTTGGGATGTGCCTTGTGTATTCCTCTTGTGAAATCGATGCCGAGGTTCCTGGCTGCGTACACCCCAGGGCCACCCAAACTGCCAAGCGCATTCTTTGCCAGCATCAGCATTTTGCCACTAGGCGTCACCATATTCAACTTGTACATAGCGAGCGGCAGTCTTAATTATTTTTGATGGCGATGTCCGACACGATGTACATGTTGTTTCATGTCTTTCAGCACGTCGATCATGACAGGTCCCCACATGTGTTGATATAGGTCATCTATGTGGAGTGAAACCATCGACCTGTCACGCGGCCTTCTCGCAACCTCATCTTGAATTAAAGGCATAAGGGCAAGCTTGGCCTCGAAGGTTGCTCCAGAGCTTCCTGCTACAATCCCGCGCCCAGGAAAGCGAGGATCCATGAGAATCTGTTCAGATTTCAACCAGTGTTCCCATGCATAAGTAGACATAGAAAGCTGCAAAACGTCCACTGAAAACTCCACCAAGACTGAGTTGCACATGGTGAGGTCCCACGGCACGTGCTCGTAGAACTGCAGTAAGCCCCAGATCACTGAAATGTTAAATTGATTCGTATTCGCACTTCCTTCTGCCAGTACTGGTTGGCGCCAGGCAGTTTAACCATGCCCCAGATGCTGCCCCATGGAGCATGCTTGTCCAAGGCCATGTTTTGCTTCCCATTGTCTTGGGCGGCGCTTGCCAAATCTGCCACCGATGCGCATCGGAGCTGGATAGAACCCAAGCGGACGTCTACCACCTGTTGGCTTGTGTGTGAGTTGTACTATGAGTCTCTGAATCCATGCCGGAGCCGATCCTGTCATTTCCATAAGCATCAGAATGTTGCCGAAATTGTGCAGCATCATTCAGAACAGAGTAGCGTCTAGGGTGCCATCCACTAAGTTGGCACGTCTGCAACTTGAAAGTTTGTCTCTGGTACCTGCTGTCTTCGGCTTTTGGCAGAGACATGACTGGGACAGGTGGATGCTCCCAAGCGGTGCTGCTAGGGGATTCCCCACACTGCCAGGCCTTAGGCCACTCATCGCTTTCTGCTTGAACTCTGGCTTCGAGGGAGAGCACTGCTAGGGCATCATCTGCAGGTCCTGTGAGTTGTGGCTTCAACGGTACGGGCTTGTCCTTCAGATATCCATGCGCAGCTTTAGCACCATTGCCCATAGCGTCGTCGCACCATTTCTTCTATTGCCGTGATCTGATCTTCGACGTCGGAAGTAGGATGCGATCATGAATCTGTCGTGCATAGGTAAGGACTTCCTGCAACCAAACAAGCCCAAAGTCATGTTTGCATCTAATAGTACTGCCCACGCTGCTCAAGAGAGAATTCCATAAAGTAGCTCCTTCTTTCCAGCAGCACCAAAAAGGGCCTTTCTTGCGCTCGGGCAGCTTAGTGAGGTCTTTCACTATCTTGTGCCAGTACTTGTTGGTCTTGCCATCGAGGAAGAGGGTCTTGATCTCGCCAAGTCTATGCATAGCCCATGAGAGCGCACGCTGCGGATCTAGCTTGTGGTACGAGCGCGTGAGGAGGATTTTGTCTGAGAGGTTCCATTTCCCACTCAGGCTCCGCACCACCTGCAAGACCAGGGGCATCATATCCCGTGAGCGTCAACACATCTTGCCACGCGATCTTGTTCCATTCGTCATACACCTCATCCATAATTTCGATGGCGTTCCCACTGCCTTCACCCACAAGAGTGTACTGCTGCTCTGTCGGGCCAGCGCCGAGGGAGAATAACAGGTTGTCTAACTTGTTATTGATATGAGTGTACTTTTCCGGATCTTGTTCGGGCATTGGTCCTATCATGTGCGTTACTTGCGGTTGTTGAAAGTTCTTTGGTACACGTAACACTTCCATCCCAGAAGACTGCTTGAATCGAATACGGACAGGACGATGTGGATCAGTTGGTACATCAGCCAGAACACAAACATCATGAATCATCTTCTCGAGACGCTTGTCAACCAGGAAGAAATCTATGTTGGATTCGCTGCTGTCCAACACATACGAGGGAGTATCAGGGTCGCCTCGAATGATGCCCTCTAGATCGTGCAGGGGCAATGCAGAGTCTAACGCTGACGGAGAATTGTTCCAGTCGCCTCCTATGATGTACGGGGCCCTGTGGATGAGCGCCTGTTCGCAGAGGAGACGTGCTATCTTCAAGTTGCACGGCCTCCTCTTCCTCCTCCTCCTCCTCCTCCTCCTCCTCCTCCTCCTCTTTCTTATTTTCCTCCTCCTCCTCCTCATTTCTCCTCCTCCTCTTTTCTCCTCCTCCTCTTTTCTCCTCCTCCTCCTCTTTCTCCTCCTCCTCCTCCTCCTCCTCTTTCTCCTCCTCCTCCTCCTCCTCCTCCTCCTGTTCCCCCAATGGCACCAACGGCCCACCGAAGCTCTGGGGCACCTGAGGATCCCTAAAGGTCGACGACGATCGTGCTCATTCTCCTCCTCCTCCTCCTCATCCTCCTCCTCGTCCACGATATCTTACGGCAAGATCTCTCTTGTCGCGCGTGACTGCTGACCACGCCGCCCCGTGCTCTGCCGAAGACGCCCCGGGGCTCCCGAGAGGGCCGTCCCGGTGCCCCCTCCCCCTGTTTCCCCCAGGGCTCGTTTCGATTCCTCCGGTTCGATTCGATGTCGATGGCCTCCGATTCCGATTCGACTCGACTTCGGATTCCAATGCGGATTCCGATGCCCCAATGGAGGCTCACTGGCCTGCCGATTTCTGCTGCCGATTCGGCTTCTCCCGACCTGGCTACCGACTTCCGCCGATATCCGATTCGTTCCGATCGCCGATCCGACTTGTCGCGTCGATTCTGGGCTCCCCTGCTCCCCCCCCCCTTGCGCGGCGCCGCCGAGGAGAACCTCCACGCCGCCAAGTCCGACGTGGCCATCGCCGCCATGACGTACCTCCAGGACCAGGGCTGCGAGGTCGTCGGGCTCGAGCAGTGACGCGCCCCACCGCCCGCCCTCCTGGCCCCGCGGGCAGCGGCCGCGCCCGCAGGCCGCAGGCGCGCGCGCAGCTGTGAGGCGCTGGAGCTGCCCATGCCCCTCTCGTGGCGGCTTTCTCACGCCGGCCCTCTCCCGCCCCCCCCCCGCGCCCCGCGCTCTCTCCACTCTGCCCTTCGCCTCCTCCTCCTCCTCCTCCTCCTCCACCGCTTCCGCTTCCCCGCTCGCTCCTCCTCCTCCACCGCTTCCGCTTCCCCGCTCGCTCCTCCCCCCCCCCGCTTCCCCGTCCGCCCTCCTCTCCCCCATCCGCCCTTATCCGCATCCCCCCCCCTTCGCCGCCGCCTGTCCGACCGCCCTGCAGGGGCCCAGGAGTGGGAGACCCCCGCGTCGCTGCATCTGAGAATCCGCCTCGCCTTCCCCCTTCCCACGTTCCCACTTGCACTTCTCACGATCCCGCCTGCCCTTCTCCCTCCCCTCCGCCTTCCCCTTCCGCCCACCCGCGCTCGCCTTCCGCTGCCTTCTCTGCTCCTTCCCTCCGCGTCCTTCCCCCGCGCCCCCCCCCTTCTCTCTCGTCTCCAGCTTCCCCTCCTCGCCACTTCCCCCACCGTCTCTCCCCTTCCCGCGCCTTCGTGCTTCCCCCTCCGCTCCCTCGCCGAGGCGGCCCCTCGGCGAGGCACACGTTTTTTTGGATGTTGTCCCAACACTGGGGGCCAGGAGCGACGACGCGCCTGCCTGTGCCGTCCGAGTCTTCCGCTCGCGCTTGCGCGCGCGACGGCTGCGGCAGAGCTCTCGCTGGCAGATGCTCCAGTACGGCGGGGGCGTTCGTGAAGGAATGTGTCCAGGAGGCCTGATATCCTGGAGGATTCCTCGTCTGATGACGGCGGCGGTGTTATATCCATGGTCATGCCTCAACCTGGCCTTCCACGAGCTGACAGACCCTGGATTCCTCCGTATCCAAGGGTTCCTTGTCCAATGTCCTCGCCGTAGTGCTTCCAGTCATTGTTTGAATCACTCCTCTACCGCCGAGCTCCCTGGTATGACTGGCCCGGTCTCCTGCAGGCAGCATTGCAGGAGGTCTGAACTTTTTCTGCCGGGGGCGGCCAGGGTTGCTACATCTAGGTGGATGCGCCATTCAGATCGGCTAGGAACGTGTAAGTAAAACAGAAGGCACTGGGACCTTCTACTGATGAGTTGGCTAAGCTTGATGGTATGTTCGGACACGCCCGTCCTGTCATACGACAGACGTTGAAGGCTAGGCTGCCGAGTATTCTCAATGCGCTTGGATGAGGCTTGATGTGCATGGTTCTGTGTGCCTGCGTGTGCGAGAGGAGAGAGAGAGAGAGAGAGCGAGCGAGAGAGAGAGAGAGAGGAGAGAGAGAAAGAGAGGAAACAAACAGAGAAACAGAGAGGGCGCTTGAAACAGAGATAGAGAGGGAGAGAGAGAGAGAGGGAGATAATGAGATTTCAAGTTTCTCCTGCTCCCGCTTGTCCTCGCGTCGGCGACAGTGACTCCCGGGCTGTGTTGACACAAGGAGAATCCAGGAGAATCCGCATCCCTCCCCCCCCCACCCTCCAGCTCCCCATCTTCTCTCTCCTCCGTCCCCCATCCTCATAATCCTCCCTCCTCCCGCCTCCTCATCGCCGCCTTCCTTCTGGCCTCCATCCTCATCCTAGTCATTCCTCAGTATTCTTACATCCCCTCATCATCACCATCATCATCATCATCATTATCATCATCATCATCATCATCATCATCACGCTCCACATGTGCGCTGGTTTCGCCATGCCTCTCGCTTTCAACATGTCCGAATCTATCTTCCTCCCGAAAGGCACCCAGGCGGGTGACGCGGCAGAGATTATCCGCAAACCCGAGGACACCCGCCCGTTGAGCCTCAAGAGCACGGACAACAAGACTTGTTCCGGCATCCTCAACATCATGTTGAGGGACGTCGCTACTGCTGGTGTTTCCTCCATCCAGCGTGGTTTCGTCGCGCAACGCCAGTTGACGCAGAACATCGTTGACCTCGACTGCGCGGCCCGCGCCTACGGCCACCCGCACCACGCTCGACATCTTCCTGTCCTAGCCTTCTGGGACATTGCGGCGGCCTTCCCCAGCCTGCAGCACAGTTGGATCTGGGCTTCCTTCCGTGCACTGGGGATGCCCAGCGGGATTCTCTCCTGCATCCAGATGATCTACCACATGAATATGGCCTTCATCATGGGCGTTTTTGCTTTCTTCTTCGAGGGGGGGTCGCTCCAGGGCTGCCCTCTGAGCGGCTTCGTGTACGCCGTCTCCACACACCCTTTCGCCGAACGCATGAAGCACACAGTGGACTTGCGAGGATTAGGCACCACGCGAATCTGCGCCGACGACGTCGGCGCGGCCATCCTCCACATGAGCACCCTCCGGGAGTACTCCGCCACCTTCGCCTTCATGCAGTTTTGCGCAGGCCTCCGCCTGAAGCTCAAGAAATGCGTACTGATTCCGCTCTACGCGGCATTCTCCTGCCACGTGGTTGAGGTGATACGCGACGCTTTGATGGCTATTGTCCCCGGCTGGGTTGATTTCGGCATCGTGAAGATCGCCACCTACCTCGGCTACCCCATGGGCCCCAACGTCGTTGACGACATGTGGGGCCCTCCAGTGCAGAAGTGGCAGCCACGCGCCGACGCCATAGCGCTCGCGAAGGGCTCCGCCACAGTGACGATCAAGGAGTACAACACCAAAGCGATCCCCACGTTGTTGTACATTGCCCAGTTCTCCCTCCCTCCCCGCACGATCCTCCAAGCTGAGAGCGCCATCATCAACAAGCTCTGGCACGTCCCACCGTCCACGTTTACAGTGCGCGGTATGGCGCACGCCTCGCAGTTTGGAGCGGTCGACGTTACCTCGGCCTCCGTCGCTTGCGTCTCTGCTCTGATCAGAGCAGCCTGCCTCACCATCGATTGGAAGACCCCGCTGGACCTCCTGCGCGGTGCCGACTACGAGGCTGCTCTCGAGCGCCGCGTTGGGAATTTAGCACGTGAGGAGCCTTGGGCAAAGCATTGGAAATCTCCGGCCATCGCCTGGACCCTCGAGCGTGTTACCACCAAGCAGGCGATCGGCACCTCCAAACAACTCCACGAGGCAATGAACGCTGCAATCAATGCCGTTCTGTCGTCCTTGGTCATTGACCCGTCGGGCGCCGTCGGGCTCCGTCGGGCCCCGCCGTCGGGCTCCGCCGCCGGGCGCCGTCGGGCTCTGATGTCCGGCGCCGTCGGCCTCCGTCGGGCGCTGCACGGCCCATGCTCGCACAGTCCTCTTCGAGGGCTCTCCTCAGGCTTGCAGCGCACCGCCTACCACACGATGAAGAAGGTGATTTTCAACACCCCCCCAGGTGATGCACTCAAGGCCCGCCTACGTCTCCATTGGCCCGACGCCGTCGACGACATCAACAGCATCGATTTCACGAACCTCATGAACATCATGAAGAAGAGCCACGCCCAGGTCGCCGGCTCCTGCTTCAAGACATGGATGGGGGGATAGACGACTTCAGCGCGCCTCCACGAGGCCGTCGTTCACCCGTGCCTGTTCGGATGCCCCGCCCGGGACGAGTGGACGCACTACGCCGACTGCTTCACGCTCTGGTCCACCGTGCACAGCCTCATCGGGAAGCGCCCGCCGCCGAAGCGGTTCGATACGCTCGCCTTGAATGCCAAGACGGCCGACGAGCTCAAGACAGTTTTCATCGCATACGAGACGTACCACAGGATCAAGCACTCACACCTCGGCGACGCACTCCTGCACTTACAATTACGGCAGCATGATGAACTTAGTGGCCTTACGGATCGCCTCGCGCACGCAGCAGCGCGCCTCTGTCGCTAGAGTGTGGCATTGCACCCCTCGGTGTTACCGGCATCATCATCATCAGCATCAGCAGCATCATCATCATCATCATCGTCATCATCATCATCACCATCACCATCACCACCATCATCATCATCATCATCGCTATAAAGCCAATGTTTTTTTAGATTTCAAGCCAATTCAGATGTCCGGTTCTGATTGCTTGCTCAAACTATTTTGACTCAAGTCAAATTTGGAATTTCTGATTTCCCCCGTTGCTGGTTTGAGGGAACAACTAAGGTGCACAGGAGTGGGTACGAGTCTTATGCGATGGTGGGCAAAGCATGTACCATGCTTGTATATACGAATGGCGACGGCTTCAGTCCGCGATCAAGCAAGGGCCTTCCTGCGCTGCTGCTGCGGCGAGTGCTGAGTTGAAAGACGAGCGCGACTACAAAGAGGCTCAATGGCAGGCGCACAAATGGCATCGCAAACATAATGACATTTCAGAAGTTCCTGAACGGTACAGTGGGATGGCGCTGATATTCGTTCGTGATATTCTGCCTCGCAGAATCTATGAAGCCCGTGGTCGTTCCACTCGACATGCAAACCGGTGAAGGCACATGCAGGGGTCTACCTGGCGTCCTGCTGGACCTCGCCCTGGTGCTACTGACTGTGTCCTTCGCGCAGAGGTTCCTGAAATTGCTCCTGAGTGTGCTCTTCTTCAGGTGCAGAGGGCTGCTTTCTATTTCCACGACTCCGAGTCGGACGAACATGGGGTTGTTGACGTCTCTGGCGGCTGTGTCCCTCCGCTGTTTCTTCCGTCGATCATCCCGGCCACCGATTGGGCTAACTGTGGATTCGCTTCTTCTTGCCACGGCGACTTCTCCTACCTCGGGTACGATGTCACGATGTCCTGGGGTACCTGCAGTCCCTCAGCTCGAAGGTCGATGACATGTGCGAGCAGCTTACCGCCCGAGCTTTCCAGTTCGAGCCCCTAAGCAGCCAGCAGATCGAGTCTGCTTCCCTCTGTGCCCAATGTTCTGTGGACCTCTCTGTGTTCGATGGCAAGTTGAGCATGCACGAACAGCACCTACGTTCACTTGACGTTCGTGTCAATGCATTTCGTGAACATGACTGGGCCCCGGTTCTTTCATGTCTTGCCAATCTTGAAGCAACGGCAAAGGCGGAGTATACAGAACCTCGCCGTCTCACCTTTTGGGAGGAGCAGGACAATATTCGCGGTCTCGAGTATGATGTGGCCGCCCTGCAAGCGTCGATGTCCAGTCTTTCGTCAACCCTGCATGCTGTCACTATTATCATACGCACTGACCTCATGGACGCTGTCAACCGCTTCGAAGTGCATGCCCGTGCACGCTAGGCTACTGTCGTGGACGAGTGGCAGCAGGCGCGCTCCGAGGTTAACGCCCCCGCCAAAAACACGCACTCCATCATCGCGAAGTTCACTGGGGCGGCTGGTCCCGCCAGTTTCCACCATGGTGTCCGTGTTGTTGCCACGTGGTCAGACATGCTCGAGTTCAGGGTCTCAGAGCTTGATAAGACGGTCGCGGCCAACCGGTCGAGTGACACTACAGGGATCATGGATGAGTACATTCGTGTGCAGATCCCAATCCTTTTTCGGTGACAGCATCGACGCCTTCCACGCTGATTGGGAACCCAAGTTCAACGACAAAGTTGCCCGAATGATCGCGTCCGCTCTCTCTCTCCCTCTCTCGCTCTCTCTCGTCTCTTCCCTTCCGTTCCCCCCTCTTCCTCTTGATGGCGCTTTGTATCCATGTGCTCTCCTGTCCTGTGCCCCGCGCGCTGCACGCGGTACCCTGCATTGAACTGCATGGACCAATTCTTTCGTGGTGATGGTGATGATCATCATCATCATCGTCGTCCTCATCCGTTTCATCCCCGCCAGAAGGGGGGAAGAGGGAGAGAAGGAACAGGAAAAGGAAGGAGGAGAAGACAGGAGCAGGAGGAGGACGAGGAGGAGGAGGAGGAGGAGGAAAAATAAAAGGACTAGGAGAAGGGGACGCTTGATGAGGATGACGGCGAGCAGAGGGAGGAGAGAGGAAGATCGCGCGGTGAGGGAGGAGGAGAAGGAGGAGGAGAAGGAGGAGGAGAAGGAGGAGGAGAAGGAGGAGGAGAAGGAGGAGGAGGATGACGACGACTAAAAGCAAGATGGGGTAAGGGGAGGAAGGAACGAGAAGCATGATGAGTGTCAGAGGGAATCGATGATGAGGCAGAGAGGGGAGGAGGGGGAGGGGAAGGATTACTTGGTGCCTATGCCCATGCATACGAAACTGATGCTGATGATGATGATGATGGTGATGATGATGATGCTGATGATGATGATGATGATGATGATGAGTATGCTGTTGTTGACTATGTTGGTGCTGTTGGTTATGACGATGTTGAGCATGGCCGTGATGACGATAGCGATGCTGATGACGTTGGTTACGATTATGGTGATGACGATGATGATGAGGATGATGTTGCTGATCTTGATAGTGATGATGATGATGATGATCATGATGATGATGCTGTTGATGCTGATGATGATGCTGGTGATGATGATGTGGAAGTGGAGGACAATGATAATGAACATATCCCGAACAGGTCCACCACAAACCACGGATGCTGCAGTACACCGTGTCGCCCCAAACCGCATCATCATTCATCAAGGCACGTGCGTTCACGTGCGTTGTCTCCACGATGTGGTTGTTGTGTGTAAGCTAAGATGTTCCGGTTAGCGCGTTGACCTATTCACACATTGCCAGGCCACTTAGGTGGCAGCTATGTGCACCCTGCAGCAGCGGCGGCCGCAGACGTGGCCATCATCACGCTGCCAGTGCTGCGACCTAGGGTCCAATACTGCATGAGAGGTGTCGACCATAATTTCCTTGTGCTTTCCCGTACGCCACCACGGTGCAAAGTCACATCTGGCAGTTGCAGGGGGGGGCAGGGATGAGCATAGAGGGACGGTAGGGGCATGAGCGAAGCATGCGATGCTTGTTTGCCTGGCAGCGCGAGGCTGGTTTCGGTTGTGGACGACGCCAACCACGGGGCGCAGGAACGCTAATTTTCCGTATTGCGGACTCGCTAGCCGACTCATGCTGGTTGCCCAGCCCTGGTAGGCAAGCCAATCGCGTTTCAGGGACGCTGGCGAACATTCGTTTCCAAGACTTGCGCTCAAATTCATTGCGCTTCAGGTCTGAGTCGGCAACGGAGTGGCCATAGCTCAACGATCGTGCGACCACCCGTCCTCTGTTATCAGGGGTCGACAACTATCCACGTATCCCGATCCTGGCCAAGCACATGTCAGGTCCGATATCGGTGGTATCGCCGCCATGGGAATACAAGAGGGCGTTTCCTCTGGTACCGTACCCAAGATTGCCCTGGCCAGGAAATGTGTGGGTGGATAAGTGGCGTCCGCCGAAGATCTTAATGCTTCTGTGACCACTCACTCCACATGGCGCGCTCCCTGAAGGCCGCGCCGTCCAAGGATCGAGAGGTTGCATCCTCTCCTTCGGCAGAAGTTGGCGGAAGTAACAAGGAAGCCTCGGCGGCTCAAGACGGTTGCGTCGCAGCGACGGTCGTGCCAGGTCGCAAGTCCTGGCCAGTGCTGGCCCCCCTAGTCGGCCGCGCCATGTGGGCCGTGGGGACACGGTGAGGGGGGTGTGCTTCGAGGGCCACTGCGAGGTGAGCGTTCGCGGGGTGCCCGACCCGCGAGGACGGCAACACGGTGCAGGGCCGAGTTGGTTGCTGGAAAAAGGGCGTACGGGCGATGCGCGGCAAGCGTGCCTTGAGGCGAGCAGTGAGGCTCGCGCTGGTGGCAGGCGTGGCTTGGTACCGAGGACAGAGGATCACGCGTGCCTCAGCCGCGCAGAGGGTCACTCCAGAGACTGTCGCGGAGTTGACCCAACTGTCACATCGAGCTGATGATAGAGTACTAAAAATAAGAGCAGCGAGCCACATGGAAGCAGAGAACACTGAAGGTGTGGAGTTTCAACGCGGAGTCGCTGCGTAGGGTGGCGAGGCTGGACGAGTTACTAGAGTTGGCTAGAAAGGAGAGCGTGGCCACCTTCACGGTGCAGGGCACGCAGATGGATCTGGGAAAGACATGGGAGTCGGGTAGTTTTGAGGCGCATTCGCTGGCGAGGTCAGGGCGAGGGCAAAGGGACGGATGCGTCACGGCCGTCAATCTCAAGTGCGTCCAGAAGGGCGAGGTCAGATGTGAGTACGCGTGGTTGGAAGGGAAGCTGCAAGGAGTGCGGTTACGCAGTGTGAACAAGAAGAGGTTCGAACGGGACGTCTACGTGCTGAATGGCTACGCCCCCACTAACGAGGCGGGCCATGTGCCTAAAGGGGTTGAAGCTATGGAGTTTAGAGAGAAACACCTTGAGGCCCGAGATGTGTTCTGGCAGGTGCGTCGCCGAGCAGTCGGCCAAGTTGCAGCAAGGGCGTCGCTCATTGCCACGCTGGACGCCAATGCACGCGTCCCACCGTTGCTGCCTTGGGCGGGGTTCGCTGGCGCGCGAAGGAATGGCCCAACGATCAATGCTAACGGCCACGCGCTGATGGAGCTCATGGGGGACTGCGGGCCGATGGCAGTGAACACGTTCGGCAAGAGAGGGAGAGTCAACGGCGCATGGAGGAGCCCGCAGGGGACGTGGACTACGATCGACTACGCGTTGGTGCGGCGGCGAGGAGGTTACGGACATTCGTCGTTTCCGATGGCTGATCTACTTGTGAACATGGGCGGCCGCAGGGACCACAGGCCGTTGGAGTCACGTACCTTTGCGGGTGTGAAGGCGGCAAAGACAGTGAAAGAAGCAAGCAAAGTTTGATGGCGGAGGGAGCTCGTGAGCGCAGACTTGTTGAAGGCGCAGCAGGCTGAGGGGGATGCGGACAACTCGGTCAAGCCCCCCGTCCGTGTGCTCAACTTCAGGCGTAAAGTAGTGGAGGGACTTGAGGCAAAGGGGCTGCAGGAAGACTTGGCTGACATTTGTGGGGCGGGCATGCGCTGCGAGCCCCTATCGGAGTACTTCAACGATCTGGAAGGAGTTGTGATTGAGGCGGCGATGCAGGACTACATATCACCACCTGTGGCGGGGAAGAGGATAGGCGCAGTGTTCAGTGAGGGGACGGTGAAGTTGATTAGGTCGAAGCAGTACTGGCAGTATCAGCTGGCAGCCCTTCCTGATGGAGCTCGGCGGTTGCGGGCGCATTGCCAGCTGATGTTCAACATGGCGGCGAAGTTGGCGACAGCGGCTGTCAGGAGTGAGAAACGGCAGCAGACCGTGGCACTGGCGGAAGAAGCTGGGCGAGCGGCAGGGTAGAGAAACTTGAGGTGCCTCCACAACATCGCGAACAAGTTAGCTCCCAAGCCTGCGGCACCCATCATGACAGTGAAAGGTCCAGACACGGGGCTGCCGCGTTTCGACGCTGAGGACGATCAGCGGGTGCGCATTCGGAGCATATGCGAAGTGTGCGACGGTCAGGCGATGGAACTGGACGACGGACCCATCCAGGCAGGCAGGAATACGCGTGACGACGACAGGATTGGCAGCTACGACATGGAGACGGTAACGGAGAGCATCATGGCGTTGTCCAACTTGAAGGGGGGACCCACGCTTCGGTGGCCGAAATCTGGACCGCCTGGAGGCGCTGTTGCTGAGTCATGGAAGCTGGCGGTTGACACGCTGCCGCTGCCCATCTTGCAGGTATTGAACGCAGCCCAGTCTCTGGGTGACGCCCCACAGAGGTTCAAGGACGGGCGAAACCATGCAGTTGCGAAAGCCAAAGGGAGATGGTTGCTCGGCGTCGAAGGACTATCGCACCACCAACCTGATCAGCCATGTGGGGAAGGCGCGCGCCAAGGTCACGTCGCTTGCGGCGTTGAGTGAAGTGGCGCACAATATTTCACCGACGCAGTTTGGAGCCATGCCAGGGAGAGGTACGCGGGGCGCAGTGGCAGTAGCAGGAGAAGTGAGTGTGCTCCATCAGCGAGCACATAGAGTTAAAAGAAGAGGAAGTTCGTCCAAACCACCGCCTATGCTGTTGGCAGTACTCACATACATCGAGAAGGCATTCGACGGGGTGGTCAGGGGAAACAGTTGGAGAAGCCTGGAGGCGCTTGAAGTTCGGTGGGATGCCAGAGCGAATTTGGAGGAGCTTCATGAAGGCATGTGCTACCTGTTCCGCGACGTTACCACTCATGAGCCTGTCGCGCGGATTTGGGTAAAGCAAGGAGTGCGCCAGGGAGGAGTTGAGAGTCCTAGGCTATTCGTGGCTGTCTATGATGGAATCGTGTATCGCATTTCGAACGAACTTCGCCAGCGGGAGGTTACTGCCATCAAGGTACATTTCGATCCCGCGTTGAAGAAGATTCGGAGCAACGGCAGCTTGAAGGAGGACGAGTGCGAGGAGTTGGATGTTTCGCAGCTAAACTCATTGGACAACTTGCTCACGTTCGCTGAGGTTGAGGAGTACGACGATGCGTCCATCATACTGGAGGTGCTGCAAGGAGAGATTAAGCAGGGGGTATGCGCGTCAACACCAGGAAAACGGAGATGCTGCTCACGCCGACTGGAGCTGGGAGCAAGAAAAGGTTGAAGGATATTAGAGCGCAGAGCACAGGCATTGTGACGTGGGAAGGGGATGACTATCTCCCACAGAACCCACAACAGACGGTCAAGTGTTTGGGGGTGCAGCTGGCGGCAACGGGTACACGCCACGTGGAGTTCACCAACCGTGCCAGGGCCGCCAACTCCACTCATGCGCGCTTGCTACGCCGTGCATTCAAGAGCGGGTTTAGTCCCAAGTTGGAGATCAGATTATGGAAGGCATTGGTACGTTCGGTGTGCCTATATTGCTTTCGCCAACCTCACCAAGAGGGAGCTCAACAGGCTGGAGAGCTGGCAAGTGAAAAAAAACTTCGAGGATTACTGAATTTGCCAGCTCACCTGTACAAGCAGACCAATCGTGAGATCAGGAAGCAGGCCCGTGCTCCGACGGTTGCGAGCACGTTGTTGCTACGGAGACTGAGGTGGTGGAGAAAGGTGCGATGGCCGGCCTTCAGGGAGCCCTGTGACGACCTGTGCGACCCGACGCTGGCGGTCAGGGCAGTCATCTTCGGACGCTTCTCGTTCGAGCAGGTTGGCCAGGGGGAGCAGTCGGGCCTGCCGGCGCTGCTGCTGGAGGACATGCGGCAGATGTGGCGGATGGTGGACGCACAGGAGAAGCTCGCGGCCCGTCGGCTTTTTCTGTTGCATGGCGACTCGCCTGGGCTGGCTGAGTCTTGGCTGCGCTGGCTCGCCTTCCTTGAGCCGCGCAGTTTCCGCCGTGTGCTGACTTACGGCGGTGAGATGGACACTGTGACTGACACGGCAGCCGTCGCGTGGCTGGAGTGCGACCTGTGTGGGCGAAAATGCAATGGGGAAAAGGGGTTAGCCAATCACCAAGACGCGGCCCATGAAGTTTATGCAAACCCAGCAGCAGAAGCCCTCACAGAGACGGACTTGAAACTTAAGGTATGTCCTCACTGCCAGAAGTTATTTGCGAGAAAAGACACGCTGGTAAGACACGTTAAACAGAAACGTTGCACTGTCCGTTCCAAAGAAGTTGAGGCTCAAGCTAGACTTTCAGAACCACCGGAGCCTGCTGCCCCCCCCTGCAGTACCAGTTCCTGCTGCGGCGGGCGATGTTCAAGCCGATAGGCGAGGTGCAAGTGACGGCGGGCAGCAACGAGAGCAAGAGGACGGCGGCAGAGGCGGGGGTCGTGGGCGACCAGCCCGACGTGGTGGGCCCCTTGGCCAAGGCGCTGGCGCGGCTGGTCCTGCAGCACGAAGATATGGCGAGGTCGGCGCGCAGGGGCGACAACTTCGTGATCCCGCTCAAGCCGACGCAGAAGATGGCGACTGCGCTGGACCAGGCTCTGGCGTACTACGAGGAGGAGGGCGCCAAGGCCAAGGCGAAGGCGAAGGAGAAGCAGGAGGAGTTCATGGGCAACCCACTCGGCAAGCGCCCCGATGCGCTGGCGAGGGCAGTTCTGTTCCGCATGTCGGAGGCCGTCGAGGACAAGAAGGATGCAGTGCTGGCGGCCGTGGAACCGGGCATCGAACCGCAGGTCGCCATGGCCGCGCTGGACGAACTCTTGAAGGTTGGGAAGATGGTGCAGGACCCGCTGATGAAGTTCGTGGCAACGAGGTGCTTCAAAGTGAAGAGCAAGAACGACGAGGAGGGCCTCGAGACAGGAGGGTGCAAATGGATCTTTGCGGTGAACCACTACCAAGGGCTGAAGGAGTCGCTAAATCTGCTGAGGCGCAATGGCTCACTGGCCGCTGTTGGGGTGGGCCTCCAGTGCGACATCGCGACGAGGTCCAAGGCGGCGAAGGAAGTGGAGTCGTTGGCGCTCAAGGGCGGCAAGGGTACGCAGGCGAGCAGGAGCAATAAGCTCAGGAAGAAGTAGGAGCTGCGACGCTCACAGCAGCTGCGACGCCAGCGCCTACACCAGCATCGGCGCCAGCACCAACGAGTGAGGGGAGAGGCTTTGCCGCTGCCGCCGAGAATGGTACTCCTCCCTCCGCCTCTACCCTTACCTCGCCTTTTTACCTCTCTCTCCCTCTTCCGACCACTCAAACACAGCTCGAGAAATACTTTCGCAGGGGGCCACGCTAAGAATGTAGTGGACCTTGTGCGCCTTTCTCCTTACCCGAGGGGGGGGGGGGGGGAGCCGTCCCCGCATGTGCCACTCCCGCAGGGGTGGGGGTGCGCGGGCGCGGGGCTGAGGCCAGTCGGGCCTGCCGCTCTGCACCCGCTGTCCGTTCCAGGGCATCGTTTCCGATTTTGAAACGCGCCGCGTCGTTTTCGCGGTCGTGCTGAAGCCCCCTCTAAACTTCCAAGGCTAAGGGAGTCGCGTTGAAAAAAGGAAGTAACAAGGCAGCGGAAGCCGGCATTGCAACAGTTTGGCCCGCAAGCAGTACCACTGTTCCCCACCATGATGTGGTTGTGCCCCGCCTCTTTGTTATTTGTCCTTATCCTCCTCCGTTTCCTCCCTCTTCTCAGCCGTATCATCCTCATCGCCATCGTCTTCATCTTCATCATAAGCATCACCTTCATCATCGTGAGCCCCAACACCATCATAGTCACGTTTTCGCCACACCGCGCACACGCTCAGCTCCACCCATGGCCCCACCAACCAGCAGCGGCCGTATGCGGTACCCCTCCAATTTCGCACACCTCTCACACGTTCCGCAACCCTGCAAGGAACTCAACCGAAGAGCCCAGTGGCAGCGGCCGCACGCGACACCTTCCGCAGTTTCCCCCACCCATCGCACGCTTCGCGGCCACATAGGTGGGCGCCAGCCACGGCCCCACGTGGCAGCGACTGCATGCGTTGTCCCCTCCAACTTCGCACACCCCTCACACATATGGTATCCCCTTAGGGAGCTCCACCGAAGGCCTCAGTGGCAGTGCCCGCGTGCATGCCCGCGCCCATGTCGGCTGACCTTTCGCACGTATCGCAGCTCCATACGTAGCCCCACCGAAGGCTTCAGTGTCAGGGTCCGCGTGGCGTCCCCCCGCCGATTTCGGCGCAGCCCTCACACGCCTCGTGGCCCCGTAGAGAGCTCTACCGAAGGCCGCAGTGGCAGGGTCCGCTAAAGTGCCTGCGACAAATTCGGCTGCCCCCTCAAACGCATGGTGGCATCAGAAGGAGCTGAATGCCCCAGTGGCGAGGTTCGCGTAGCGCCCTCTCCTGCCCAAATTCCGACACAGCCCTGACACGCTTCGGGGCCCCACAGGGAGCTCCACCGAAGACATTGGCAGTGGTCGCATGGCGTCTCGGGTCCATTTCGGAACACCCCTCGGACGTTCCGTGGCTCCATCATACGCCCTACCGAAGGCCTCTGCGGCAGGGTTCGCATGGCGTCCCCCTTTCCATTCCGGGACAGTCCTCATATGTGTCGTGTCCCCTATAGGGAGCTCCCCGAAGGCCTCCATGGCTGAGTGCGCACGCGTGTCTTCGGCACACCCCTCATACGCTTCGCTTCGCGGCTGCATAAGACGCTCGACTGGAGGCCCTAGTGGCAGGGTTCGCATGGCGTCTCCTGGACACCCCTCACATTTGTCGTGGCCCCAAAAGGGAGCTCCGCCGAAGGCCTTAGTGGATGAGTCCGCATGCGTGCCTGCCCCCACATTGCCTGAACCCTCACACGCGTCGTGGTTCCAATCAGTAGCTCCAACGAAGCCCTGCGTTTTCATGATTCGCCTAGCGCCCCCTGCGCATGTCCCCAAACCCCTCACACGTTTCCTTGCCCCATCGGGAGCTCCACCGAAGGACCTGGCAGCGAGTCGGGCGACCCCAGCACTTTTTCGGGACACCCTTCACACGCCTCGTGGCCCCATGGGGGGGGGCTCCACCGAAGGCATCAGTGGCGGGGTCCGCATGTGTGCCCGCGCCCTTGGCGGCTGACCCCTCTACGTTGGCAGGATTCGCGTAGCGTCCCCCCCGCCAATTCTGGCGCAGCCCTCACACGCTTCGTGGCCCCAGAGGCGCTCTACCGAAGGCATTGGCAGCGGTCGCATGGCGCCTCTGGTCCACTTCGGCGGACCCCTCACACATTTCGTGGCCCCACAGGGAGCTCCATCGCTTCTCTACTTTATTTTTTATTCCAGACCCCCTGCTGTCATTCGTCGTCGTCCTTCGCAGAGATGTCCCAGTCCTCATGCTCGCCCCTCTCCTCATCATCTGTCTTGCGGCACTCGCAGCTGCATATGGTCGTGTCCTTCGCCGAGGCGTTTGCTTGGATTATGGGTTTCTTGAGTTGTATGTATATATATATATATATATATATATACGATCCTCAGGAGTGAGGAGTAAGGCTCAGAGGATTAGGCGGAGGACCTGAGGACACGCCCACTCCTTGCCCAGCGGCACGGTGGCGTATGTATCGGAGGTGAGGGGGTGAGATCGAAGTGGAACGGAGAGCCCCCCTACCGGGAAATCGATTTCGGTTTCGTGTTCGTGCGTGCCGTGCGCGCGGGCGACGCGAAGCTGCGTGGGCGGGCGAGAGGAAAGTCTCCTGTGGCTGAGGCGCGGCCGGACTAAATGTGTCTCTTCCGGGCGGCCCGTGGCGCGCGGTGTCCCGCCGGTGTCCCGCTGGTGTCCCGTCGGTGTCCCTGTGGCTGAGGCGCGGCCGGACCAAATGTGTTTCACCCGGGCGGCCGGTGGCGCGCGGTGTCCCGCCGGTGTCCCGCTGGTGTCCCGTCGGTGTCCCTGTGGCTGAGGCGCGGCTGGACCAAGTCTGTCTCTTCCGGGCGGCCGGTGGCGCGCGGTGTCCCGCCGGTGTCCCGCTGGTGTCCCGTCGGTGTCCCGTCGGTGTCCCGATGATGATGTGGATGATTATGATGATGATGATGATGATGATGATGATGATGATGATGATGATGGCGATGATGATGATGATGATGATGATGATGATGATGATGATGATGATGATGATGATGATGATGATGATGTTGGTGTTGTTGATGATGATGATGACGTCGATTGTGAGATCGATTGTGTCATCGATAGTGCGACCGAATGTAAGATCGATTGTGAGATCGATAGTGAGATCGATAGTGAGATCGATAGTCAGACCGAATGTGAGACCGAATGTGAGATCGACTGTGAGATCGATTGTGAGATCGATAGTGAGATCGTTAGTGAGACCGAATGTGAGACCGAATGTGAGATCGATTGTGAGATCGATTGTGAGATCGATAGTGAGATCGATAGCGAGATCGATCGTGATATCGATAGTGAGATCGAATGTGAGATCGATTGTGAGATCGACAGCGAGATGGATTGAGTGAGACGTTGGTTCCCCCTCCCGCCTCACCTCCTTATCACCCGCAGGGTTGTCGTATAGGTATACACATATTTGTGGGGAGAGAGAGAGAGAGAGAGAGAGAGAGAGTGAGCGAGAGAGAGAGAGAGTTAGAACGGCATATGCGCACGTATAAAAACAGTTTCGCCTTCGCTTCGCGCGGCTGCCTCCAGGTCTCGTCGGGGCCTCTGGGGGACCGCCTGTAGGCCTCCTGGGGGGCATCCTGAGGGCCCTGGGGGCGTGCCGCCCCGGACTAGAGGGGGGACGCCCCCCCCCCCAAAAAATATAAAGCTGGAAACGTGGGGTCGCATGGCACGCCTGCTGCTATAACTAAGTCGGGCCTGTCCCTCTACAGGCGGAGTATTCAAACATAGTCAACAAATAATCAGGGAACGATTTTTGTTTTACTATGTTTGCCTATTCGGGGAGTATGTTTTGCGTTTTTTATTTGTCGCCAAAAATCCCCCTGTAGGGGACACGCCCGACTTAATGCTATAACGCGCTGCCGCTCCCCCGAGCGTCGAGGGCAGCTCGGCCGCGGCATGGTGCGTTGCGCAGCCTCGCGAGGGAGCCTCGCACCCGAACACGGGCCTTGACTGACCAGGCGCGATATCCCGCCGGTTCGGGCGTGCGCGGGTCAGATCTGGGATGGCTTGGCGCGAGCATCGCCCCGACCAGAAGCGGATGGGGAGCGCGCTCCGCGGTCAGAAGTGTTGGTTTCGCATGCCGCTCCGCTGGTTCTGGCCCATCGCGCTTGAGCACAGCACGCTATTGGCCCATACCCAGGTGTCAACGTCCCGAGCTGTTCCCAGCCTCCCGCCCCGCGGAGGGGCCGCCGCCGCGGCACGCTGAGCCAACGTTCCTAAGCGTTGGTGAGAAACCAGTCAAGAATTGCCGGCATCGAGCTCGGACCTGACGGACGCGCCGACCACGATGCCTCGCTGGCGCGTCGTGAGCCGGGTACCGAGGCGATCGCTAAGGCTGTCGCGCGGCCTGCCAGGATCGCGCGGTGAAAAGATGGAGGCGCAGCCAGTCTCTCCTCCTCCTCCTCCTCCTCCTCCTCCTCCTCCTCCTCCTCCTCATTCGTCTCTCCTCCTCCCTCCTCCCTCCTCTCCGCTCCCTCTTCTCGTCCGAAAGCTGGGTGTTCGAGCTCCACTGCGTAATATGGTGACTTGGTGCCGTGCGCTGCCCCCGCTCTCCTCGGTACCGAAGCCCCGAGCGAGACATGGCCCCGCAGCACCCCATCAATGCACGCCCCGCCGTTGGACTGGGGGGACACTGCTCTCGAGGAAGAGAAAAAGCTACAAACACAGACTTTCGGAGCTCCGCGCGGATTTCTTGGCTCTGCGCTGAGCCCCTGGCGGCGCCTCCGGCGCAGCCCCTGGCGCGCTCCGCGCGCCAGAGAGGGGGGCCCAGCGCGGATCCGAGAAATCCGCGCGGCCCTCCAAAGGGGGAATCTGAAAAGATAGTCGAAAAATAGTATGGGGACGATTGTTTAACTATGTTTGCGGATTGTGTGGTGTGTTTGTTTCTTGTTTTATTGTTCGCCTAAATTCCCCCTGTAGGGGGACAGGCCCGACCTAAGTTTATGTTCATGCCGTGTGTTGCTCTTCCCTGCTCTCCTCCGCAGCCGTCGCGTGCCAGCGGCTCCGCGGCACAGAGGGCGCGGGCAGAGCTCGCCCGCTCGCAGAGGGAGGGGCAGGGAAGGAGGAAGCCACACTGAGGTACACAGGCTAGC